GAGAGGGGGGGGGGGGTTTAATAAACGTGGGTGAAATTAGCTTTGAAATTGGGTGGAAAACTACAAGGCTGGGTGGAAAACTACAAGGCTGGGTGGCACACCCCCCTCCACCTATCCACACAAATACATCCCTGAATGCAAGTATAGCTATACAATTAACCATCATTAATTGTAATCTAAGAAATGTTTAGACTATAAGATCAAGAATTTAATGAATTAGTCTTTAGTTACTTCAAATCTAGTTATATATTTAAGCTTTGTAAATCATTTTTTACTTTTGTGCTTATAAGTTATGTATTAATGTCTCCTCATGGTCTTTCTAAGAATGCCCACAGGGTGAAAAGACAATGAATATTATTTTTAATTGGTTAGTACTGTAATTAATTTAGAGATTTACAGAGTAAAATATCTGTCTCTTATACACATCTAGATGTGTATAAGAGACAGATATAGGCCTATGTTAATATTATGATTTCTAAAATTGCAACCTATATTCACTTTGTGTGAGCGTTTCTGTCAAGTGTATGAAATTAAGTCCCTGGGGGAGATCTGCGCCAAGTCAAGTGTATGAAATTAAGTCCCTGGGGGAGATCTGCGCCAATATAATACCGTAGAGGTCTCCGTGGTCTAATGGTTTGATACTCCTTGTCAGCGACTCGGAGAGGTTATTGTTCCTTCATAAAACTTGAAAATGAACTTACGATACTCATCTAGTATGTATAGGCCTATATAAATAAACAAATAATAATAACTAATAACTGTGCTCGAATACATATATATTCATGTGTTAATACTTGTGTTAGGCCTATGGTAAATACAGTTTTGAGTGTTTATGAGAATTAAAATTACTGGTATAGTTGTTTCAATCACAGTAAACCAATCAAGTCCATTAGCTGCGTCATACTGTAGCGAATGGTAGGCCCAAATTAAAATGTGACGTTATCGAACACTGGAATAAGCCATCTAGCTTACTATTTTTGGTAATTTACTGCATACAATTAAATTAATTCACGTGTTTTGCGTTTTCATAATAAACAACGCTCAACATTTTCAAAATTCGAACGATATTTACACACCTGCAAATCAATTGTTTTTAACCCCTCGCTGACACGGCGGTATGAAACCCGTGACTTGTGTTTAATAACCATTGGGGAGAAGACAAACAAAACTATACTGTACTAAAGCGAGGTACCGTAAACTAACAATTAAAAGTGGGTACAATGTCACCTCAACATTCAAATCAAAAGAATATGATCTTGTAGTTTGATACACTGTGCTCAACAGCATCACTGCACACTTACCAGCATTACTGGCTCTTGAAAATCCTATGTTCCTTATAGCAGCCACTAATAAACACACAAATGAAATAAACAGTATTCTTCTCCATAGAAAAGAACGTCTTCGACGTATAGCTACTATAGCCATGATTACTGTCCAGGGAGCCTAGCGAGGCTTTACGCTAGCATCTACTCGGACAAAAACACGATCAGAATTTGTGTATTATATCAGTACACTCTGTGTTATATTTATTCTGATCCGTATATCAATGCAAGCATGATTTGTTTCAACCAGTATCGCGGAAGCTTCTGTGAATAATATTACGGTCCAATGAGCAGAGTCCCTTTGGTTTCCATTGGTGATAACTGAGTATTATGACGTCAATGCAATTGCGATTTTAACTGGCCGAGTACACCAGCTCACAACCCGGGGGACCTGGTCGATCGGAATAATGGTTTTTGACATTGGGTTACCACATACAGCCAACTCATTGGTTCAATCAGTCAGAATGATAATTTTAATTTATCTCTCCTCTCTTCCCTCTTGTACGTGAGACCAACGGACTCAATGGAGACGAGATAATTATTTTCATTATTTAACCTCCGTAGTCTAAATCCTCGGCGATAACCGACTCAATTGCGATTGTACATGTATGTTATAATGACATTTGTTTATTCCTATTCAATTCATAAATCGTTAAAAATCTAGAAAGATCCCGAGAAAGATCCCTTAAAATTAAATAAAACTGAATAGCTAATTAATTTAAAATGCATTGTTATATAATAAACAACACCTTTTTAGCTTTGTTAACACTCTCTAATTATGTAATACTGTATCTCAACTTCATCACATTTTCATCGAGTAGTCTTTTAGGCTGGGGGAAATAGGCAATTATATAAAATTTTCGATAATACTATTCACAGACCAACGAGCCTACGAAACGAACTCTAATATAAACAGGCATTGTCTATGGAAAATTTGGATCAAAGGTAGCCAGCGGGGTTAATGTAAGGGAAAATCCCCTCGTCGGACAGGTCTGAACCAACAATAGTAATTTGCCTATCCAAATAATGTTATTTTGATTTACAATCACTAATATTGTGGTCTAAAGCACATTATGGCCATTACTAAGCCATAAAAAAAAAAATCTCCCCGTGAATCTTACTAGGGCTCTAGTAGGCCCTTTGGTTCAGTTGTGCGTTAAAAATTGGGAATTAAGTAAGTGCTGGGATGATAAATGAAGGGGTCCATACGTGACCCCTATACGATTTAACTGGTCTCTTTAGTCTGATAGCACACTGGTCAAGGCTATGTATTACTATTACTGTATTAGTATGAGGGCCCGGGGCCTTTCTTCTCCCTCTGAGACGTCACACTTTCCGCCACTGCGCTCAGTTTCCTCCAGTGTAACCTGTTTTCTTAAGACTGGCTGCAGACAAAGCTATGTTCCTAATGATGGATATCAGATACACTTAAACTAACACAAATCAGGGGCGGATTTTGGAAAGTTAAAAAAAGAAGAAGAAGAAAAAATAAGAAAGAAAGAAGAATTTGATCGCCCAACCTCGGGGGTTACTTTTGGGCGTCTAGAAAACACAAATTTCGCGGGGTTTTCCCCCGGACACCCTAGTGTGGTGTTATCTCGATCGGTCCCACTTTCGGCCCCTTCCCCTTTCGGACATCTTGGATTCGCCCCTGTAAAGTGTATTTAACTATGCCAATAAACATTATGGCCTAATTAAAAAGCGTTTGTACGGTTACTAAGTTTTATTAAAGCAACGTCAGGCCTATGTTTTATGAAATGATCTGTAACGAAGTTAATTCGAAGAGCGTATTTTTCAGCGAAAGGCTCTGCAAAAGATCGCGTCATCGTATCTCCTGGATGTCATTAATTAATTGTTTCGTCGTATTATATACATTAAGAACAAGGATGACTTTGGTATATTATTTACATAAGTCATTGACTTACGGTGTAATTCAAATGGAAATTACAATCACATCCTCGTGGACAGACAACATGTTGCTGAGAGTCCTTTACAAATAAGTTGTACGAAACAAATGTTATATGGTAAATAATAAGACAGAAACAAAATATTGGACAGGATGAAATAAAAATGAATACACAGCCAATAATAAGTACTAAATAATATGAAAGCTGGACATCTTAAAAGAAAAGTGGATGAAACTCTAAAGCCGATTATTACAAAATGAAGATAAACTGATAAGCTGCTGATATAATCTAGTCTCAAGATCTAAATCTAAATTAAAGACAATACCAAAGGACAAAAATGGCATGATTTAGTAGGTAGGTAGGGCGTATGGCACCATGGTTTTGCCCAGCACAATCTGTGTCTAACACTAATACGCTCATAATCTGAAATGCTTTGGAAATTAAACAGATCAATAACACACATGTGAAGTAATTGACCAGGTGTCCCCTGCCAAATCGAAGACATTTTAAGCAATTAGAACCAACACTACTGACTATCATGTTTCGACACAAAAACAAATACCGCATAAATATACGAGAATTGCACGACAATATTTATCTCTCTTTACGTTCCGTGGATTTCCTCAGAAATAATAATCAATGCATCACCCCCTACTTATTCCACACCTTGTTAACTAATCGTATCTTCAAATATTTTACCTGAAAAAAGGTCTGATGCAACATTGTCATTTAGACCTACCACAAAAAAAAAAAAAAAAAAATTGGTCGCGGCGTCAGTTGGGCTGCGGGAGGGGAGGAGCTGGTCCTGCATCGGGGAGAAAACTAAAATTTGTCGGGGAGGAAAACAAATGTACGGTATAGGCTATTTTTATATATTTTTTAGACATCAATATCGATCAAATAGGCCTAAGTCTTTAAAATCCCTAAATTGTTAGAGCTTCGTCGGGGGTTTGCCCGCCCCTGAGCCCATTCCGAGAGATTTAAATTTTGCCTGACCACGCCCATTTCCCTCCTTCCCTTCGGGAAAATCCTAGCGCCCACCACTGTTTGGTTGGTCTCTCTATCTGCCTCTCCGTATGTTGCAATCTCTATTCCTGCCATTCCCTCACCCTATCCATCTATCACATCCATTCAACCATCCATAATCCATCCTATACGGTATCCTTTCATCCATCCACTCATTCATCTATTTTCCATCCAACTAGGGAGTTCCACCTATCCCATTAATCATACCCATTCATTTATTTATCCATCCATCAGCCTATTTTCCCCAGTCCATCCATCCATCCGACCCTTTCTGTAAATTTGTCTCTATATTGCCAACCTGTGTTTAACTCAGGGCCGTCGAGAGTGGCCGCGGGCCCCGGGGCATCTTCGCTGTCCGGGCCCATTTGTTGGAGGTCTGGGGGCCGCCTAGGGCCCCAGCGGGATCGAGGGGCATTGATCCCTGGTGCCCCCCGGAAGCTACGGCCTTTTAACGGATTAGACTAATTTAATCGATTATAGAGTGCCTAATTTCACCAGGCACCAGGTCATGAAAAACAAAGTATACAAACATGAAAAGTAAAAGCTATCCTTCCTTTTATTTAAACGTGCTGAACAGATTCATAACAAGTATGAAAGTTTACAGTGGCGGATCCAGAAATATGAAATAGAGGGGGCCCAGAGAAGGACTTCACAGATGGACGGTCTATCTACCTCAGCCCCACCACGGTTGGGGCTGAAGTAAGAACATTTATGATTATGGCACCTCTGGACGGCCGGAAATGGCACTCTTAGACTTAACGAAAGTTTAGGGGGTGGGGCCGGCTCTCCCCTTAAATCCGCCACTGGTTTAATATAATTCAGTATTTATTTGACAATCGAATCTCTATCAGGTCTATTTGTATTTTCTAACTTGAGGTCTATGTATATTGACGATGTCCAGGGTCCAAGCCGTTTATAACTATTACCGTAATTAATAACGTAAGGAATTTACTATTTGATACATTGTAAACATAAAATATATAGTAGAAGTCATGAAAATATTAATGAAAAATAATTAGAAGCGATTAATTACCAGCTTGCATCGATAAACGGTCAGCTTTATTTACAATTCTCATGGGAAAAACACATGAATGATACTGGACGAATGTATACGTTTAATAATTTTTATTTATTTATTTTATTTTATTATTTTTTACCTAGTTATCCCTGGCCTCTGCCAGCCCCGGCCGCGGGGTAACTTGCCCCGGTTTCTCTGGCCTCTGCGCCAATGGTTTAATTACCGATATCACAAGCTATGTCCTGATCGTTGTTTTTTTTTTCTTTTTTTCAAGGACTTATGTTGGAAGAAACGCGCACGTAACCACAATTTATCTCTTTATTATCAAATTTCATCGAATGCTTTTAAATGTGAAACGAATTAATCCATCTCACAATAATAACCAAACAGCAATAATCTAATAATTACGGAAGCATGAGTTTAGCTAAATTATCATTTAGTAAGGATATAACACAAAACCCTTTTAAAAACACGATACTATATTTATATGAAAAGCCTCATATGAATTTCGAAATACGTCAGGTCCATCAAGATGACGAAAAGCTAATTAACGAAATCGCCTGTATCCTTGAGATTGCGGGATTCCTGAGAACAAGGATTTGTGGATACTGATCTTCAAGCATGATAATATAAGAGGAGGGAATATGAATAAATAGTTTGCATTCATAATTTTTATTGCAATTTGCAAAATTGCAATAAAGCTTCTCGTAGTACCGTATTGATATCGTCTTCGTTACCAGGATCATGATGATGATGATCAACACCCTCATGTTAATCATGAATATTCAAGATTTAATGTTAGAAAGTTTTGATGTCCAAAAAGTTTCTTATTCGTCATGGTTACACAGTAAAGGGCCTATAAGAAAATATGTAAATAATATATTATAATCCCCTTAAAATATGATAAGATCCCAAGATATGCATTCTGTATGCTTATTGTATAAAGTCAATAACACTTAACTTCAAAAGACTATGGGCCTATTATAACTACCAATGGTCCTAAATGATATTTACTTTCTTTTTATACTGTGTATGGTATTTGCAATAAATGAGTTTCTGCATCAACGTGTTATGCGAGTTAATTGTCATCATCATCATCATCATCATCATCATCATCATCTCATCATTATCATCATCATCATTATCATCATCTTCAGCATCATTATCATAATTTCTCAAATCCCATAATCGTTGTTGTACTCATCTCCAATTAGATCATGCCAAATATAAACTGTAAATCAAACCAGATCAAATCAAATCATCATGAAATTCATTTTTTATGTTTTTATATTTTTGTTTTCTTTAAGAAATTCATACTTTTTTGCATT